TATATTCACTCTCTAGAATGTCTTATTTTTGTAACCATAAAACATTAAAAAACATATATTATGCTAATGTCCATTCGCATTTATCCTATGGTTTGTGCCTTTATGGTTCAACTACAATAGCAAATTTGGATAGGATACTTAAACTTCAAAAAATAGCAATAAGAATAATTTTGAAATTAGAACACAACGAAACAACCAAAAACAAATTCAAAGAACTGAAAATTTTAACGGTAGGCCTATATGGCCAATTCATTTACGACACAATTATTCTAGCAAAAAACTGCTTGAACACCTCTGAGACAAATTATCACCCATACAACACTCGGCATAAAAAAATTCCTTATTTCAAGTAAACACAAATTAAAATTCTATGAAAAAAAAACCATCCTATATAGGATAAAATTTTTTTAAGCATCTTCCTAATGAAATCAGGTAATGCACAAAGCAGGAAGAATTTCATGAGAAAACTAAAACTTTATTTAGTAGAAAAAGCGTTCTATTCCCTGGAAGAGTATTGTTCCACCTCCCCTCTTAGCGTTAGTAATTAATTCAGTTTTGATTATTTTCATTTCCTGGTTCTTGGTTTTTAATGTACATAATGATCCAAGATATGCAAATTTGTAAATTATTAATTTAAGACAGATTTAAGTTAGTTGACGCCATTCAATGCACAAAACTGTACTTTATGAATAAAGCATATTTGATTTGATTTGATTTGAAGAAGGGGTGAGTCTCAGTAATTGTCTTTACGGAATAACACAACCCTCAATCCAAAGTGTTTATAACCATCCCCTCCTCCCCCCTCTTGAATGGTGTAATTCTCCAAGAATCACTCGGAAATAGAAAGATAAAGGAAAGTTCTGACACTTCATAAGCTTCTTAAGTACTTTGTAACTCAAGAAGCAATTACGTAGAAAAATTGTTTACGTTGTATTTATCATCATTTAGATGGTCTCTTCTTTAACTGCTACATTTTCATTTTGATAAAAACTAACTTCAATGTATATTTTTCGTATATTCATCTGGCACAAGTAAAGAAAAATTCAGTGAATATTAGTTTTTTTTTTATTTATGTAATTAACTTTTTGGCTTAGGTAATTTACAGCTGAATCAGTTTGCTTAAAACTATCTCTAGCTGTATGAAACGAAACTTAGTAGTAGCATTGATTATTGGAGTCAAAGGTGTTGTACTGTAGCAAACTTAATGATCTTTAACTGTGAGTTTTAATTTTAGAACCATGTCCTACATATTTTATCTACTACTCATAACAGTTGCTATAGCTCATAAGTCATTCCATCAGTTTGACTTGGTAAAAACCATCGTGTATTCGGCAGAAATCAGTAATTTAGATCAGAGCAACATGTCGGTGGCTCACATCATCTAAGACAAATTTGATTAAAAACCTGGCGACAACTTTAACATGGGGATTGTTGTTAACATGTTTAAAATTTTGTTAAAGTTAAAGTTAGTTTTGTTAAAGTTTTGTAAAAGTTACCACGAAAATTTTCAAAGTCCAGACTTTTTGACACTTTTGCACACCTCGAAAAATCTATAAAATTGTTTTTAAATACTTATATCTCAAAAACGGCTTGATATACGGCAAAACGGTTAAAATTCTGGCAACCTAAGTGAGTATCAACTTTTGATTATAAGCAATATTACAACATAAAAAAATAAAAAAGTAAAAAAATTAAACATTATTTTACATTGGTATAAATAAAAGTTACCACGAAAATTTTCAAAGTCCGGACTTTTTGACATTCTTGCACACCTAAAAATTGCGTATATCTAGAAAACGGCTTGAAATACGGCAAAACGGTTGTAATTCTGGTACTGTGTGTATCAACTTTTCATTATAAACAATATTACAACATAAAAAAATCAAAAAGTAAAAACAAAATTTAACATTATGGGTTTGTAGGTGAGCGATGCAAAAAGAGTTGGTTTTAGAAAATATATGTGGATTTGTAATGTTTATGGTGTTGGACATTTGTATAGGGATGTATCAGGGTTTTTTTAAAGTGGCTAAAAATGATCCCCATGTTATTTTTATGGGAATAAACGTGTTTCCTACAAAATAGTAACACTTCGGCTAACATCCTTGTTCATTGTTTGTGGGATCTTCATATTGTAGGTGTTCTTCATTATATAGGGTGATAACGATAAGTAGTAAATGGGTTGTTTCATCTCTATTTCTTCTACTTGGTGGCGTTCTATGACTTTCTTATGTTTCCATAGTTAAAATATCGGTTCTTTCAATGATTGCACCAAAAATACAGTACCCTGTCAATTCATTTTTCTTATTTGGTAAAATATATCAAATTTACCAGGCTTTCTTGATTTTTTAAATTGTAATATGTACGAATGTAAATTAAAGTAGTAAATATTTAATTTCAACAAAATCAGTAAATGTACCCAATGCGTTTCGTTAAATTGAAAAATAATAACATCAATTAAATTATACAGCTGATCACAGCTGATACAGCTGAAATGTAAACAATTATGTTCTTCATAAGGATAACATGGGAACTTTCAAAGCCACTGGGGGCAGAGCCCAATGGACTTTTTCAAAAATGTAAGGCCAGTTTGCAAATCTACGCGACGCGCTCCTTCCAATGAGACGACAATGGATCAAATCGGTTAAAATTGGAAGAGTTCAACTTTAACCGACAAACGTCGTGTTCGCGTATTAATTATATAGAAGATAGCAACATCACAGTATTGTTTTGCTCGACTTGTTAGATTGATGTGTTAATAATATTAGTTGTATTTTTTTATTCATCAAATTACTTTGTTTTATGGTAAGCCTTAGATATTTCATTTTAAAGAATGTATCTTTACCTATCTTATGAACTTGGCAAACAAAAATCTGTCAATAATAATAATTGAAAATAAAGGGTAGATTATTTTACCATAAGAGAAAACCGAAACTAGCCTATAGACTATGTTTCATAAATATCTGCAGCTATAAAAATGTGTTGCTCTAAAATAAAATGAAGAAGAAACGAATTAAATGCCAAACACCAACCTACTTGTTATTGTAAACACCGCTGAGCAACCAGCCAATAACTAAACCTCCCTCGACGATTTCTTAATAGAGACAGAACGTCCCCTTAGTCCATTAGTTTTTTTTTATTTATTATTAATGAATTATTATGCTTGTTTGCATTTAAAACGTAGGGTAAAAGTTTTTTTCTCGTTTAGGTACGTTAATTTGTCTTCAAGAAATTCGCTTAGGAGACAAACAATAATAATATTTAACATTTTCAAGAACTAATATAAAGGCTTTGAAGGACGTATTTATTTATTATTGGCTTGTGCCATAATACCTGGGTGAGTGTTGTAGGTTTACGTTATTTTTTATTAGCTCTTAAATTGAGTTTTTCTTTATATAAATGAACGGGATAGTAGGCTTAGGTCTAACTGATATATAGTTGTCAATGAATAAAAGTGATCTTATTTAATTTTTATCGCCGAGTCTTTATCACATTTTTAGGATAACATTTGTTGGTCCACAAAATTTATAGTTTGACTAATAACCCCACAAAGTCCTGACACTTTTTCGAATTCCTGACACTTTGTACAACTAGAAAAGTATTCCAATCACGTAAGGATAGTCTTAACGACACGAGTACAACATTTAAGGTACCGGTACGAGCCTTGGCGAGTGCCTTAAAAACTTAAACGAGTGTCGTGAAGGGTAATTACACGAGTTATGCACACTACTTTAATTAGACAAATTCTTAATTACTAAAAATCAATACTTATAAATTCCAAGAGAGGTTATGTTTTCATTGCCAAATCAGTTGGGCTTAACAGCTGATATAAGTTGACATTCGAAAATCGAAGTATTTTAATTTTACTTTATTTTCTCTCAATTCTTGTACTTCATTGGTCCAAACTTGCACTGTAGGGTAACAAAACAATACTGTAAGTAAGTAAACAATACTGTTAAGTGAATCTGTTCAATTCTAATAACTGAATTGAAAAGGCTAGTTTAAACGGCCGTACGTAAAAACCTTTATCATTTCGTCCATTCTTTTGTTAAATTATAATAAAAGTCGATCAGAGCCTAAGCACTTATTTCATAATCTAAATAGATAAAATTGTTACGAATATGTTATATAATTTAATTAATATCTAGATTTTCTTAAATTTTTTATCCTAACAAGAAAGATATTCTGTTTTAGCGAACTTCCCAAATAGGGGATAGGCTATTACCGTAGGTTTCATGGTAAGACCTGGGCCCGGAGCTGATTTAATATTTTTCGTTTTGATGTCCAAAAACACCATCCGTTGAAATTCATATAATCAGTGTGTGTGTCCGTTAGCACGATAACTCGAGCAAAAAGATCAGTTTAATGAAGTTTGGTAAAAACGTGTAAACCTAGGTTTATTTGAAGGAGTTCGCAAACCAGTATGGTTGAGCTATGTGAACGGGGTTTTACGGGGGCATTTTTGACCACCAAAACATACAATTTTGCAATTCCTTTTACAACCATAATATAGAGTTTAAAAACAAATGTTTTAGTATAATTGAAGTATTACTATGCGCTTAACGGGTAGAGAGAAAATTTAAAAATGTAAATTTTAAACTCTTATGTTATTCTTATGGAGAGTAAGTAAACTATTGTAGTTTGCTTGTTTATGAACATATTTAAAAAACAATTTACGAAGTTTATTTATTTCACACTAAACTAAATTATTATTCACTAAAAACCCACTTTATTGCCTTGCCTTCTCTGTAGCATCAAACCTAAGTAGGCTCGTTAAGCTAATGTTATCTAAATAAATCTGACTAGTGAAAATACATTCAGATATAAAATTTCACTTAGTCTGCAGGCCTGCTGCGGTGGGAATATTTATTGTTTACAAAGATTATTGTAATATTTTAGAATATAATTGAATTTTTAATCAAGAACGGACATTTTCAACGTCGTCTTCAACAAAAATAATAATACTTAGTTATTATTTCATCCATCGAAGCGTATGTTCCTACCTGCATCATGGGCAAGAAATAGCAGAGAAAGCTCCCGAAGATCCAGTTGTGGATTAGTATGACCATGAGCGAGATGGGCAGCACGAAGATGCACTTGACCATGTCGCTGAGGGCCAAGTTGATGAAGTAGCAGAACGTCTGGTCCTTGTACAGCCTGTCGCGGAATATGACGTAGATCATGACACCGTTGGAGAGTGTTCCGACGGTCACTATCATGGAGTATAGGAGCACAAACAGAGGGTAGAGGGAGACGAAGGAATACCTCAGCTGTGGCTCTCTCAGGTCGACACTACCGTTGTGTTTGGTGCCGTGGTGGAAGTAATGGATAACCTGCTCCAGAAACTTGTGCGGAAGGTTCTCCGACTCTTCTAGTTCCGTGTCGTCTGGGTCCGTAGTCCTCATCCCGGTGTTTGGTAAGGCCGGTGTAAAAAAATATCAAACTAGAAAATTACATAGAAAACATACTATTTTTAAAATACGTCGGCATACTGCAGAACATACATCTACTGACATTCTACATCAAGTTATAAACTTCATAAATATTTGTGCGATTAATTATTATCTCAGAAGGGGTGTTCCTGGGTGTCATCGCGACGAGGCGCTCACTGATACTGCCACCTTCGCCGCCTCGGCTACCCCAGCGTCTACAGCGCAACTCTCACCCCCTCCACGACCTTGGACCTTAGATAAACGTTGGCTCCCCCCCCCCCCCCCAAGGTCGATCCTTGGCTTTTTCTCGTTGTAACAATATCTCATTTAAGGCATTTTTAACTTTGAAGCTAATAAAATAGGACATTTTTTGAAAACAACAGCAAGCATTGTAAGTGTTGTATATATACAGGGTGGTGTTGGGTGGTTCACATAAAGGTGTCTCAAATTGATTTTAGACAAACCCTTGGTCCGATGAAATAAAATGATTTCCCACTAAATCGACCCCAAGGAATAACGTTAAAATGTTTTCTTTGAATACAGGGTGTCCAAAAACCAGATGGTCAATAGTTCAAATCTCGGAAATATCAAACTTAAACATATAAGCATATTATACATAATTTTAAAGCCCTATTAAAAAACATTTTGGTAAAAACAGAACTAAATTATCTTTAGCCGTTTCAAAATGACGGCCACTTTTTTTATTAGCAAATAAGGAATGCGATATTTTAATCAGGGTAAATATATCTGCGATTTCAAAAAAAATACAGGTTATTCCATAAAAATAAAACTTTTTCAAAAAAGTGGCCGCCATTTTGAAACGGCTAAAGATAATTTAGTTCTGTTTTCACCAAAATGTTTCTTTTTAGTATGGCTTTAAAATTATGTATAATATGATATATATGTATGTATTTGATATTTCTGAGATTTAAACTAGTGACCCAGTGGTTTTTGGACACCCTGTCAAAAAACATTGGAAATATTTTAAAGTTATTTCTTGGGGTCATTAATTGGGAAATAATTTTATTTCATCATTGTATGTAGGACCAACGGTTTGTCTGAAATCAATTTAAGACACTTTACATGAACCACCATAAGTACTTAAATGTCCTTCATTTTCGAAAGAAGTTAACATTTACGTGACTTTTATGCTCTACATTCTTGATAAATATTATCAAATGTTGAATTTGTTTTTAACACCGGTTACATGCATCGACTAAAAAGAGTTAAATGTAAAATGTTTTGATAAGTGAGTTTGAGTTTTCCTCTCATTTTCACTGTCATTTACCAATAGATTTAATGATTGAAATTAAATATTTTGAAGAAGCTAAACAAATATCTCGAATCTAAAATGCTTCTCACTACCAAGATTTTCAACGTAATTATAAATATTCTGAATAATTGATGAAACAATACTCGACCATACTATGCTGGCCATACTGTTACACTGGCAGTGGCAATATATAGATGGATTTAGTTTGACAACGATCTGTTTTGTCATTAAGAGTAATGGTAGGTTATTGTATAACCAATCTATCTACCAAAATACAGTACTATAGGAATGTTGACTCAGGCCAAAAAATGTTGTTTGATATATTTAAGGGGAGCGGGAACTGCCTATCTTGCCAATGCTAAATTTGCTATCTTTAGGTACAATTATCTTCAAAAGGTGTAGAGCAAAGGCTTTCAAAATTGTAGGCTATAATTATCAACCCTTTATGAGTAAACAGTCCCAATTTTAGAATTTTCAATTAAGTAATACCTTAAAAAAAATTTATAAGGCACCAAAAATATTTACAAATTTTAAAAGACATATTTTTTTAAGTAGTGAAGTTGTGAACTCACAAATACTAGACAAGAGTAAAAATACGTGTATTTAGTAAAAAGATAAAGTGAACAATAATAATTGAATGAATTAGTGAACAAATAAAAATCATCTATTAAAATAACTATTTATATACAGGTAAGCAGTCAGGCACTACAGTACCCCCTTGCCAGTGGTTGAGCTGTGTAGTTGAGCAAACACGAAAAAAATCAACCCTGGAACCGTACTGGAAAGTAAAACTTGCCTCCCAGAGCACGTAGTTAATGGTGTAGATCTCAGAATAGGTTTAGATATCAAGGTACCTCTTTGTTGAATGTCAGAACGAGAAAAGGGAGGAGTAGTAGTTATGGTGCCCCTGGAAACGCTGGTGTCATCATGGTCGAGTTGTAAGGAATAGACTGGCTTAAGTCGATCCATTGAAATGGTTACATCATTGCCTCGAATCCGAATAACTGCAGTCTTGTCAGATCTTCTAATGACGAGGTAAGGATCTGAGTAGGGGGGATCGAGTGCACCCTTAGAAATGTCGGTACGTACGAAGACATGAGTGCATGTGTTGAGATCCTTGAACACGAATGGCGTCCTACCTCCATGTCTTGTTCCATCAACTGGTCTTAAGTTGTTCAAATGTTGACGCAGATCTTTGGCAAAACTTTGTGGGTCAAGTTCATGGTTGGAATCGCTAAGTGTAAAGAACTCTCCAGGTAGGCGAAGTGGTTGACCATACAGGAGTTCAGCTGAAGAAGCTTGTAGATCATCACGCCATGCTGACCGTATTCCCAAAAGTATGACGGGCAACACCTCAGTCCATCGTGCTGTTGTGTGGCATCTGATGGCTGCCTTCAGTTGACGGTGAAAACGTTCAACTAGTCCATTTGACGATGGGTGATAGGAAGTTGTTCTGAGACGAGTCGAACCTAACAAATCTCCTAGGTGTTTAAACAGGCTTGACTCAAATTGCCGACCTTGATCTGTTGTAATTCGTAGTGGTGTTCCGTATCTAGAAATCCAAATGGTAAAAAGTGCTCGTGCTACTGTTTCTGCTTCTATGTTTTCGATTGGTACTGCTTCTGGCCACCTGGAGAAACGATCAACACAGGTCAAACAGTACCTGTAACCTTCGGAGACAGGTAGCGGACCAACAAGGTCAACGTGTATGTGCTCAAACCTGGAAGATGGAGGAGCAAACATACCTACAGGAGTCCAGTTGTGACGTGATATCTTGGACTTTTGGCATGCCATACAAGAACGGGCCCATCGACGACAGTCAGAGTTCATTGAAGGCCAGACAAAACGTTGACTGACAAGTTTCAATGAAGCTTTAATACCTGGGTGGGAGAGATTATGTAAACTGTTAAAAACGGTTTGTCAAAATGGCCTTGTGATGAAGGGACGAGTGATGGGAGTAGATATGTCACAGTAAAGCAAAACCTGTGTTCCTGGTATTGGGACCTGTCGGAGTTTCAGACTGTATGTGACGTATTAACTCTTCATCTTTGCTCTGTGAGTCTGCTAATGCCTGATAGTCCAATGGAACGGCAATTGTCTCAGTTCTGGAGAGGGTGTCAGCTACCACATTACCTTGTCCAGAGATGTGGCGGATGTCCATTGAGTACTGTCCAATGTATTCCAAGTGACGAAATTGGCGGGGAGAGCATTTGTCAGCTTTTTTATTAAATGCAAAAGTGAGTGGTTTGTGATCTGTGAAAATGGTAAACTGCCTACCTTCTAACATATGTTTGAAGTACTTTACTGATAAATATATTGCTGTCAACTCTCTGTCGTAGGTACTGTAATTTTGTTCAGCAAGGGGTTAATTTTTTTGACCCCAACGGCTGCCAGCTATCACCTATCTTTTGCTGCAACGCACACCCCACAGTATGGGCGGAAGAATCGCAGAAAATGGCCAATTGAGCATCTGGTACAGGGTAAGACAGCATCACAGCTTTACTAAGGCTTTGCTTGCAAGCCTCAAATGCTTCGTTACTTGCCGTGGTCCAGTTGACAGGTGAATTTCCCTTCACATTAGCCTTCAGGAGTTCGTTTAGTAAGCTTTGATGCTCCGCCGTGTTAGGCAAAAACCTTCGAAAAAATTTATCATACCAATAAACCTCCTTAGTTCCTTAAATGTTTAAGGTTTAGGATATGAGTTGATGACTCTAACCTTTTCTGGCAAAGGTTTGATACCTTCTCCAGATACTTCATACCCTAGAAAGTTAACGACTGATGTTCCTAGAACACACTTACTCTGGTTAATTATGATCCCATAAGTAGAAAAACGGTCAAAGAGCTGTTTTAAGTGTAATACGTGTTGTTCTTCTGACTCTGAAGCTACTAGGATATTGTCGATGTAAGCGTAGCAGAAGTCTAAGCCCCTAAGCACGCCATCTATAAAGCGTTGAAACGTTTGAGCAGCGTTGCATAGTCCAAATGACGTGTAAGGGAATTCAAACAGGCCAAAAGGTGTAGTAATTGCTGTCTTGTGGACGTCCTCAGCAGCAACCGGAATCTGGTGATAAGCCTTAACAAGATCTAAGGTAGTGAATATTGTCTTACCATGAAGTTGGTGAGAGAAATCTTGAATATGGGGAACAGGGTACCGATCAGGGATAGTTCTAGCATTCAAAGCCCTGTAATCTCCACATAGCCTCCACTCATCGCCTTTTTTGGGAACCATGTGAAGGGGAGAAGACCAGCTACTAGAAGAGGGTCTAGCTATACCTAGTTGTACCATGGATTCAAATTCTTTTTTGGCGAGTTTAAACTTATCCGGTGCCAGACGGCGGGGTTCACTGAACACCGGAGGTCCTGGTGTTGTCTCAATATGATGTTCTGTGTCATGTTTGGAAGTACAATCAGGTTTACCTGAAGGTCTGGCGAGGTTTGGGTATTCATGAAGTAATTGAGAGAAAACTGTCTGTTGACAAGACTTAATAGTTTTAACACTACTCACTAAATGAACTGAAGGAGTTTGACCTTTGGAAAAAAACAAAGTTGACTGGTCAACTAAACATTGATGTCGTACATCAACAAGCAGATCATAATAGTGTAGAAAGTCTACCCCTATTATTGGTTTGGATACATCGGCTACAGTGAAACGCCAAACAAATGAACGGCGTAGGTAGACCAAAGTCCAAAGGCAAAGATACAAGACCATATGTCGTAATCTCGGTATTATTAGCTGCATATAGAGTATAGTCAGTCTTGGGTCTTTTTTTATCTAACATATTACGAGGGTAGACGCATACATCAGCTCCCGTGTCAACTAGAAATTGTTGTTTGGTTACCTTATCTTATCTTATGTGAGGTCGGAGTCGCTTGTCGCCATTAGAGACTCCCTGGGTCGTTTCCCGATCT